TTCTCTCGACGCCCAAATACAACCCCCACCCTTCCCTGCGGAAAAACACGGTCCTTTATGTGTTTCACACAACGGTGCTGTACCCTGGTTGAAGAAAAGGTTGATGACACTTCCTGCGCTCGACCAATTCTTAGGCGTCCTTTTTGAAGAAGTGTGGTCCACAAGCACTCGGGCTGTCCCATTTCCCAGCTTAAGAGTAAGCAACGAAGACGCAGTGGGCCCCCAAAAGTGGCAGTTCTGACGCCTCCCTAGCCGTACCGCCCCGCAAAGCTCAAAAACCATTTTCTGCCACAAGTTCAGTTTGTACAACATATTTTTCTTATTTTCGAAGTTAGATGGTATTTGCATTGGATGACGCGAAGAAACGATTAAAGTGTCAGAGACGGCAGGATATTCCTTTTCTGGCATAAAACGAGCAGGCAGGGAATACTCGTACCGTGAGGCTGCCAGTTGTCCATACTCAGGGTGTTCTCCATGGCTTTTGTCCTTTTTCTTTTTCAGAAGAGTCATTTAGCGACTATAGGGAGTAGTTGAGCGCCACTATCCACAATATGCAATAGGGGGGGGGGGTGTTCAGTGAATCTCTCACCCCTCAACCGTGTCCAGAGACACGCCCTCTCTAGGGAATGGGATGATTGAAAGGCGAATCGCTCTAGCGATTGTACTACAGGAGGAAGAGCTAGGATTTTCTGTTAGAGTAAACGTGGGGAAATATCGCGAAAATGGTTAATAGTTTGTTGAATTGGTTTGTAGCAACACTCACCTCCATTGAGAATCATCCACAATCCGCTTCGCGACCGGTCGCGTAAGCAGTAGATCAAATACACGGCTAATCGCACGTGGTTATCTATAGTCGAGATAAAGCATAATCTTAGCTTAGAATTAGAAAAGAATTTTACTAATGTCTTGTATTTAGTTACAAGCTCCTACAGTACTAACCTTGATTCAACCACTATTTAAGGGGAAACCTGGAGAGCCAGGAGTATGTAATCAAACTTGTCCTGCTTCGGGGGGACTGCAAGATCCGGAATCTCTCGTTCGAGATCTGCTTGCCAGTTATTAGGCGAGAACTAAAGGAAATCCGTATCAAACACGGCTACCCAGGACCGCCAGGACAGCCTGGGCCACAGGTGAGCTTTGTTTTTCGGTTAACTCGAGACTTTATTAGAATTTCTTCGAATGGACTTCCGGAATTCAGGGACCTCCTGGGCAGCCTGGGCAGATCGGACCAGCCGGACCACGGGGACCGCAAGGTCTACCGGGTCACGCCGGCGAAAAGGGTGATCGAGGAGAAATCGGACCACCAGGATTGCCAGGACAACCGGTGAGAATTTACATGATCTAAAGAAAACCGAGGCCTTCTCCCACTAAGTCAGCCACGCACGCTAATCTGGTAACGGTAGTAAAACATTTTCAGGGTCAAATGGTCGAAGTGCCAACATCAGGCACTGTAGCCGTCATGCCAGGACCTATTGGCCCACCTGGACTTCCGGGACCACCTGGAGAGAAAGGAGAGCCTGGAGGCCCAGGACTTCCTGGACAACCTGGGTCTCTCGGATTGCCGGTAGGTTTTTTGAAAGATTTCGAGCTCAGTTCGACTAGTTGGGAGCAGGATTTACCAAACTCTTCCAAAGGAGCAGTATCATAACCTGCAGGGGAAAGGCGGGACGGGGGGCGGGGGGGGGGGGGGGGCTATGTGTTATGTTCAAGGAGACAAATTAGTTCAGCCGATTCCCTGGGGGACCTACTATTTTTCATGTTCGACGGCTGTTTTATTAGCACAAATTGTTACGTCGCGGGCGTCGTGTGGCAGCAATCCCTTGTAGAATCGAAACCCGTGCTATTTCCTAGTTTTACAAGAGCACAGGAGTCTCAACGGAACGGCGACAAGAATTAACTACACTCTTGTTGGCTGCCACTGCTGTGGCGTGTCAGGGGGGGGGGGGGGGGAAGGGGAGGGGGTGGCCGTTCCCTCCCGCCCACCGAATTGTTGAAGGCAGAAAGGCGCAGTGAAGACTCATGGAAAACGGCTGGCGTCGCCGACAACGCCATCCGCCTGCTGCACAGAACTATAATTACCCCTCTTAAGCCGAACTGATCTATAATTTGGTATTAAATAATCAGAAGTCGATGCCAAAAGGGCGCTATGTTCGTGCAAGTGGTAGCACATAGATAGCATTGTGCTGATGCAAGTTTACACCAAAAATGGGGTCACCAGCGCACTGTTCTTGACCGCAAAAGAGTGCGTTTGGCCCACAGCGGAGAGCAAGAAGGGGCGTTCCTGCGTGATCCCGAGTCGCCTCTCCACTATCAGTCCTCGGGCTCTTTTCTGTCCCAACCCACGCAGCCGTCGCTGCTACTCACAACTGCGTGCTTGGGAACGCTCATTTTAGCACTTCAGACCCACTGAATATAGTTTTTTGAGCAGCACCTAGACATACCAGCAATCAATACGTATACTTTTAAGGGACCACCCGGACCGATGGGCCTGCGAGGATCACCAGGAGTTGAAGGACGACCGGTGAGTTGTGCGACTTCACAATTTCTCCCAAATTGATTCAACTGTCGATTTCTCTTGTTTCTGAAAATTTTAATCCTAATAACTATAAACTTTGACTGTTTCAAGTACCTTTAATGACCAGCAGCACTGGCTGCCCAAGCCTGAAGTGCCTCGGCCGATTCAGCGCCGATCTCTCATCGTTTTTCTTTTGTGGTAAATTGCATGAGCACATTAGAATAATGGCCTGTCTTCTTGTACTATCGATTGATAGATCGTGTCTGTAGATCATATTTGTGATTGGTGTAGCTGTAAATGCCAATGGAACGAGGCCGTGTTGTCAGCTCGTTGTACGCTCAAATATTTCTGAGCTTTAATCACACCTAATTGTTGTTCATTTCAGGGCAAACAAGGACCAATTGGACCAAAAGGCGATCCAGGAGTAATGGTAAGTTTAGCCTGAGAGCACAGTCTACGCTGGTTTTATGGGCGGCGCCGGCCAATCATTGTAGCTTCTTCATCGGTGACATTGAGAAACACAATAATTATGAGTGTCCGCCCATTCAGCTATCACGGAATATGTTTTGATGAGATATGCTACTAATAAAATGATATTTCAGGGACCACAAGGAGTGCCTGGTCATCCAGGAGCCCCTGGAGAACGAGGAGCAGATGGCAAAGACGGTATGCGAGGAGAGAAAGGCGATCAGGTTAGTTCTTCACAGGTAATCTTCAGTTCAACAAGGATTTATGCGCCACCTTTTCAGGGCATACCAGGTCTGGATGCGCCATGTCCCACAGGTCCAGATGGACTACCTCTACCGTACTGTTCTTGGAAGCCAATGGATGTAAGACAATTTTTACAGTACTTTGACTATACATTATTATATTGATGTTATAGTATTTTTGGCGACATTTAGTATTTGTCAGATATGCAAGAGAACTTGGACACCGTAACTGCCTACCC